AGAACTTAGTTGGCAATAGTTGCCAATTTATTGAAGTTGAGTTTGGTTGCCAATTTATTGAAGTTAAATTTCTTGTCCAACATATGTTTGCCCCATTGCTTTTGAACAAGATTTGTTATTCGAAAAGAATAAAATGGATGTGGGCCAAAATTGCCGAGTAGGCCGATAAAAATTTGAAATGGATTCCGTGCCCTTGTTCGGTGCCGTGGTGATATCGGAATGAAGGCGAGACAAAGTAGGGTGCTTGGTGATATGCGAAGTGAGCCATTGCACTCAATTCTTTGAATAAAATCGGCAAAAAATATATATATTTTTAATTTGCAAATTCTGACCATACGGATGTGTTCAGGAGGTGACAAATAGTTGGAAACAACTATTGGATCATTGTAATTGGTCTTCGGATAGTGTAGTTCTACCCAAAATGGATCAGAAGGCTCAAATCAACAGGGTGTAATGTAACTGCAAAGCACTAGATAATTTTTGCATAGGTGGATGTCGCATTCTCCAGCGAAACTCAGCATTTTTTGGGCAAACTTTGAGCAGCTGGTACGGCTTCGTTTGAGCTTCGATTTTGACGCAGTTTGTTGCGTTGGACTCATTGCGATGAGTACTTCACGTTAGTATGGGCAAGACATGGATTTGATGGCTTTGAAAATTTCAGTTTGTCGGAAAATGTGATCTGTGTCGCAACTTTCGGCGAACGTTGGTTACTTCTTGGCTTCTGGGTTGGTGGGTTTGGACTCTTGGAGCTGATACGAATCATGTGGTATTATTAGATGTGGATTTCGGCAAATTGAGATGCTAGTTCTAAGCCGATGTCGAGATCATTGCTACCAAATATTGTTGCCGAAGTCGAGATGTTAAAGTCGAATAAGTTGTCAATGCTAGACTACAGCGTTGATATTAATGTTGATATGCCAAATGAAATGCCGAATAAGTTGTAAGTTTGCAGAATTATGCCAAATAATAAGCCGAATAAGTTGTCTAAGCCGAGTTGTAGTGGTGCCGAATAATCTTGCAGTGTTGATATTGATGATATGCCAAATGAAATTCCGAATAAGTTGTGAGTTTGCAACTGATATAATATTCGCGCGCCAAATTGATGTGGAATGAAAAGCCGAATTGCAGAGTTGAACAACGTTGCGGCATAATGCGTCACTGAATAAATTGCCGATGCCGAATAATGTTAACGAATTAATCGTGAATGCACTTGAGCTTTGTTCTCGGCAAAAATGTAGTCGGAAGAATTTGTTCGTAATGGCATTATGATCGGCAATTAGAGTTGAAAATTGTTGAGAATGTGCTCAGCAAGCAGAGTTGAAAATTGTTCGTAACTTATGATCGGCAAGTCCGTAATGGAATTTGTGCCAATTGAACATGGTAGCTGTTTGGCATGACCGTGGCATTGCCGATTAATCAATGTGCTGCTGAGGGTGAAAGATAAGCTTCAATGAACTGACAAGCCGATGGGCCAATGGCATTTTACCGAGTAATGTTGCTAAATTGCCAAAACTCATGTAGACTCACTCACCAAGCCACGTCCAGAGAATATCAAACAGGAAATGCAATGAAATATAGGGATGAAACCATGAAAAGAAATATTTCATAGTACAAAATGTATGCATGAATTAGCTTTGAAGAAGGAAGAAGTCAATTCGTTACTCCAATTTGGATGCTTAAAGACTAATGGTTTATGTTTGCATTTTATTAGAGAGAGAGAGAGAGAGAAAGAGAGCTTGAAGCATACAAGTTTTTAACTCATTGAAGTTTCAAACACCACAGTGGCCGAAGCTTCGTGCAGTGCCCTTGTTTTGTTTTATTGAAGTTCTAGAAAGAGCCCGAATATTAAGATAATTACGCGCCGGGCAGTCTTGCCGAATAATGATACCGAGCCGATTCAATGTAGCGAATGAAATTTGGTGAGAAATTTGATGCTTCCACGAATGGGTGTGCCGAACAACTTAGTACCCTCACGGCTGATGTATTGTATTTTATTTATTTATTTTTATGTTGATTTTCATTTTTTTTTATATTATTTTTAATAAATGTAAGCAACAATATATATATGCACATATATCTATAAACTTGGTCAAGTCATTCAATAAAGGTTGGACACCATCTGTGAGTCTAAATGTATATAAATAAATGAATTGAGTTTGGCCGAACAACCTTGTTGAATTGCCAAAAAGAGGCTCTCTTTAAGAAAAGTGAAACCCATTTGTAGAGAGAGAAAATGGAAATGCAAAAGTTGACCATGAATTCTATGTTGTTTTAAAACTTTTTACTGAGATTCACAGTGAACAAAAAACTCTATTTTGTAAGCACAAACATATGTACCTCCAACCCACAAACCAATCTTAAACTAATTTGTAGAGAGCAAGATCAATCAGTGTTGTTAAATTTTTACTTACAAAAACATGTTTGCTCATCTCTTCGTTGAACTCTTGTAGACGTTTCCCACAGACAGCGCCAATTGTGAGACCATAAAATATCCTCTCACATGGATTGTTGGTGAGATTCAACGAAGAAAGCTCCATGGACCTGCAAGAGATAAATCTGGTTGATGCCACCCAACCGGGGTTACCGGCCGGGAACACTCCGATGATGAAGTTAGAATCCATGAATAAAGAATCAAGAATAGTCAGGTGTGTTTGTGTGCTGTGTGGAGTAGAGAGAGATCATGCCTGTATGTTATGAGGTCCCTTCCTTTTTATAGACGGGGGTGGGCCGAATAAGCCCAATAGTTGGCCCCTTGGCAGGCCTCGTTTGGGCTAGCCCAATAAGTTGATATATATTATTTTCTAGTTCCCACACAAACCAACCTCATTTTCAAACCAACCTTAATGAGCTCCATTTCAACCACATGTTCAAGCCAACCTTAATGAGCTCCGTTTCAACAATACCATGGAGAAGATGTGAATAAGTATTCCATTAGTTAAATTTTAGAACTATGATTTTAGTATAGAGTTATATTTTGATTTTTGAAAATAACTTTGGAATAATTTGTTTATTTATTTATTTATTTTGATTGATGGATGTATAAAATATGAGAGAATGTAAAAGAAGATAGGAGAGATGAGAGAGAAAAAGTGATTGATTAATTGAATAATAATAATAATAACAATAATAATAACATAAGAGTTTTAAAAATAATTATAAATTATATTTTTAAAATAAATGGAATTAACATGTTTAATTCAAAATATAATTTAAAAATGGGATTAAGTTTAAAAAGCAAACAAAATAATAGTCAAGTTTTTTGATTTGGTGTTGTTGATGATGGGCTGTGCCCCTATGTGCTTGTTTGGGATGCCCCCATTGGGGCTAAAAGAGTCCTATAAAATAAAATAAATTATTTTAGTTAAATAGGATAAAATGTCATATTCAATTCATAATTATTTTATTTTTTCTTTCGCAAAAGTCAAAAAAGTCAAAAAATTTATCCCAAAATAGAGTTTTTAGCCATAGTCTAAAATAGCCAAAAAGTTAACCCACATTCCAAACCAGCTCTATCTAAGCACATTCATGTTAGTTAACTTGTGGGTCAATTTATTTATTTATTTTTGGGCAAATTAAACAAATAGTCCCTATAGTTTGAGACTCGTCTCATTTTAGTCAATGACTTTTCAATTGTGACACATTTGACTCTAAATTTTGAATCTTATTTCAAATAAGGACAATTGAAAATATCATTGTTTAATTTGAAGGACAGAATCGTTAATTTAATAAAATATTAACTGATTTGACAAAAATAAATATCAAAAAAATATTTTTAATTTTTTAAAAATTATTTTTATCCACCAATGATAAAATTATGTAAAATTGATAAAAAATTAATAAAAATTACATAATTAATTTTTAAAAATTAATTTTACATTATCGTCATCCAAACACATAATAAAAATTAATTTGGTAAAAAAAAATAAATGTCTAAAAGATTTATCAATTTTACATAATTTTATTTTTAGTGGGTATAAATAATTTTTTAAAATTCAAAAATATTTGTTTGACATTTATTTTTATCAAATTAGTTTATATTTTATCAAATTGACGATTTTACCCTTGAAAAATCTAATGATATCTTCAATTGTCTTTATTTTGAATAAGATTTAAAATTTAGAGTCAAATGTGCCACAATTGAAAAGTCATAGACTAAAGTGACACAAGCCCCAAACTATAGGGACTATTAATGTAATTCACCATTTATTTTTTTGGGTGTATTGGGGAGGAAAAAGTTTTGGCTTTTTGGATGAAATAAAAAATAAATTAAAATAATTAATAAAATAAAATATCATATTAAATTTATAATTATTTTATTTTTTCTCAACCAAACATCATATTTAACTATAAGAAAATCCAAGCCTCTTCTTAAATAGAACTATTTTAGCATATTAAAATAACTAAAAACTAAAATAATTTAGTAAAATAGCCAACTTTGAAAAAAAAACCTATTTTTATCTGCAAAACAATACATCTAAAAAATAAAAATCTAATTCTTTTATCAAATATAACTATTTTAACTTATTAAAATAATTAAAAACTAAAATAACTTAAGTCTTGTTTGGCAATATTACTTTTTAGCTTAAATGTCAAAAAGTCACTAAAAAAATTAAAAAGTCAACAATTTATACAAAAAAGTCAAAAATTCTCTTTTCTCTCTATTTTTTGCACATTTTTTTTTATAAAAAATCAAAAAATTATCCCAAACGTACTAATTTTTTTAATCTCATATTTTAGTATAAAAAAAATATTTACTAAAATAGTAACAAACTTTCAAAAACACCCACTTTTGTCTACGAAACCAGAGTTTGAAAACCCACCCTCCCTCCCCTCCCCTCCAAAACAGACTTATAAAAAGCAGAGCACAGAAAGCATAAACAAAACAAACAAAGAACGCTTCTCCAATAATTTCTTGTCGCACACCCCACTGACTGACTGAAGAGGCGAGACATCGAGAGACAGAGAGACAGAGAGACACAGAGGCCAGCCACTAGCAGCAGATGGATGAGAGGCCGGAGACGGAGCTGATATGTTCGATACCAGCAACGCCGAGGGCTTCGACGCCGGAGACACAGACGCCGTCCGGGCAGAGGTCTCCTAGGCCTGCTTCCAAGGCATCGACGGGCTGGACGCCGACGTCGTTGTTGAGCCCCATTGGGACTCCTATGAAGAGGGTCCTCGTAAACATGAAGGCCTACCTTGAGGAAGTTGGCCACCTGACGAAGCTGAATCCTCAGGACGCTTGGCTTCCCATCACGGAGTCCCGCAACGGCAATGCCCACTACTCTGCTTTCCACAATCTCAATGCTGGTGTTGGCTTCCAGGCCTTGGTTTTGCCCGTCGCCTTCTCTTTCCTCGGCTGGTACGTACGTACGTTCGTTTTGATCTCAATGTAATTCTTACTGCTAGTTAGTTTCCTACATTTGGCATTTATTATGGGTTTGATTTATGGTGTTTGTTACATGTTCTATGAGATGGAGCTAAGATTATAGATCAGTCTTCCAAACACCTAGTTTTTGTCATCTCCTCTACATTTTCTTACTTCCTTTTACTTAACTTTCAATTGTTGCCGTTGTTGTCCTAATTGTTGTTTTTCAATGAGACAGTCTTCCATTTTCCTTCTCATTCTTAAAAGTCTATCAAGTTCAAAATTTTCCTTCCCAATCTTGTTTGTCTCTTTGTCCCTTGAATAATATAAAGAGTTGTTTCCTTTTTGGTGGGTCATGTCGTACAAGTCGCATAATAAAAACAAACAAGTTCATATTTAATAAATTAAATTACCGAACATGAAATTATGGGATTAAATCATACAACTCGTTGAACAAAAATATTCAACAAAATACAATGGTAATAGAAAGCAACCGAAAACTTTGTAATGCCATAGTCTCTTTAAAACAGATTTTCCACTCCACCGTGGGTGCTGGAGATATATTGACATCTTTCTCCTAAGATATGATAGTTTAGACCCGTTAACATAAAAGCACATTCTGTTAGCTCTAGCGAACCGATAATGGCAACACTCTCTTGTACAGGAAGAATAATATAGGGTAGACTGACTATATATGAAAGCCAAAAATTATGTACCTAATACCAAGGAGGAGGTCTCCTTTATACACCATGGGAGAAAGTGGAGGAGCTTTTCTGCAACAAATGCATAATTTAATTTCTTCAAAATTGAAGAAATAATGTAGGAAAACTGATGGTGTAAATTACCATATTAAATGTAGAGGTTACACATAATATAGACATGTGTGTATATCTGCAGCCACCAAATAAACCTAATCCAAAAAGATTAGGTTGATGGACCACCAATCCGACTTAAGCCAAACCTAACCCGTGTAGAGGTTGCACACAATATAGACGTGTGTATATCTGCAGTTACTTAATAAACCTAATCCAAAAAGATTAGATTGATGGATCACCAATCCAGCCTAGCCCAAATCTAACCCATTTTAACAAGCCTCAAGCCTCAAGCCTCAAACCTGAAGCCCCAAGTCCCAAGATCCACGACCTGTGTTTGTGGCAATTTTTGCATAACCAACTTGGACCATAATTTTGGCCCAATCTCACCCTTGAAACATCCATAACTCCATTTTTTCGAAAAATTCAAATGCCCCAAATAGCTCATAACCTTATAAAAAATTTGAGGTTTAAATATCCATCAGTACTTTTATCTACAATTAATATGAGATTAGTAGTTTTACACCATTCCCAATACCTTATTTATGATGCCAACTTTATGAGACAATTTCTCATTTAATTCTTAATATTTTTTTGTCATTCTTTTTATAGTATAAATATCTTGATACAAAGAATCTAAATCAATTTGATCTCACTTCAACCAGTAGTTGGGATCTACTTTAATTTCACGTTAAAGTCACCACAAAACTATTTTTTTCAACAAGTAATTGATTAAAGTCGATGGTTTGTGGGTCTACCCGCCCGCATCATTCTTTTTTTCTCTTTTTCGAATGTCGTAGTGGATTTGATATGAATGGAAGAAAAAAAAGTATCTTGTGGCAAAGTCATTTCCTTCCATCTTTTGCTTTGCTCTTTTATCCATCCTAAAGGAAAATATTTTACAAACAGATTTTTCAGAATGTGGAAATTATATAAGTTATAATGAAGGGTGTTTTAGTTGAAAATGAAAGGAGTATAAACGGCCACATCTTTTTGCAGAATTTTGTATTTGTATGTTATTATTCCAGCCTAAATTATTCTAGGGGTCTGACACCAGACTGGAGCCTCTGCCCTCTCATGGTTCTGTTTCTTTGTAAGAGAATTATAACAGTTGGACCACGCTTTAAACTTTGAATAGTACTCTTTTTCCCTTTCACTTTACTGTATTGATTTCACCTGAATCTTAATCAGTTTTTTAAAGAGGAAATATCTCTGCTATTCACCTATTTATTTCAATTTTTGTCTCGCCTTTTCTTTTCTTCTTCTTCTTCTTCTTCTTTTTCTTTTTGGAATTATTTTCTTAAGAACATTAAATTTATGGGTGTTATACAGAACATTTGATCGGTTCAAATATACTATATATACATGTGCATATGTACTTTTTTTTCTTCCAATTATTGGATTCTATAGAGACCCAAACGGTTTATGCAAACCCGATGCAATGTGAAGATATTATCGTTTGGTCAATTCAAGTATTTTTAAGGGTGGCAAAGTGTTTTACAGACTGACAAAAAACAAGGGGTTATATACATATTTCATAGCATAATAATTTTTGTGTGACATGACTGAAAACTGAAGAAGAATTTGTTTGCTTCCCTTTTGACAAATTAGCCACTTTTACCACATCTGTTTTGGATGGTACCTCCATGCTCAAGGAGGGAACGGCTAGGCCAGTCGCATAATTCATTGGATTCATTTTGGTTGAGGGTGATGCCAATCAATGACTCCATTCTAGCTTAGCTTCTTATCATACATTTATTTTTCTATATTCACAAACCTAGAGCCATCATAACATAATCATAATACTTGCTTCATTTCAAAATAAAATGTTAGCATGGAAATAGGGTTATTCATCCATATAGGATGGAACCTTTATTCTACTACCACACTAACAGAGTTTGAGCTGCTTACTATCTGCTCCCTTAGCATGATTTGCTGCCTCTCTTTAACGGCATCGTTTGACCATAAACTTTTGGACACATTCAATCCAAAATCAATTGACAATCACTCATAACATGTTAAAAAATTTGGATACATCCATCCAAAGTTTGAACTCTTCTAACATACCCGTGCTTCATTGGAGTGACAAAATTTCATCATAATGTCCACTTTGATAAATATCTCATTCTGATAATTACCTTTAACATGAGAATATTTTTATATAATTATGGTTACGGGCCCTCCTCTGTAATCAAGCTATGAAACCTTTGTTTTATTTTATTTATTTACTTTTACATCTACTAATCTCTAGTGTTTCTTGTGTGATTAGGAGTTCGTTTGGGGTGTGTTATATAAGCATACTTTTTATATTTTTTATATTTTTTGAGTCACATTACCTTTCTATTTTTCTGCACATCTTCTTGTAAAAAGATAAAAAATGTACTGATTTAGATGGAAAAGGAGGCATCGTTGTGGAAATTCATTTCATACCTTCAATACCTTCTTTTACCATTGACTAAATTATTAAATAGATATGTCATCCATTTGGGACCCACTCATAAAGATTATATTCTCACCAAAAAAATAATTGTGCTTTTCTTTTTTAGAAGAGACTCAAGTGTTGCATTGCATGCTTTGCTCTTCTTTTTTCTTTTTTTGGCATCTTTTTGTCTTTTTTCTATTCATAATATAATGCAATATCTATTTTCTCATCATTTCATGTAGTAGCTCAGGAACTCTTTGCCAGAAAATAGCATGCTGCCTTTAATTGTGGAACTTCTGCTTTACCAGGAATCCATTTTTCGCCAGAAATGGTGATAGTAATAATAATAAGTAAAACAAAACAAAACAAAATAAAATACTCAATCAACTTAAGGAGTTTAATTTTTAATTTCATGAAAGGATCTGGATGCATCAGGTTTCTGAAGATGCTATCTTAATGGTATGACATAAACTCATTCTTGCCCAATTAAGAGCTTATTTAATATTATACAATCAGCCATATAGTTACATGGTTTTTTTTATTTATTATTTTTTATATCATAATGTTTGGGGGTACAGAAAATTTGAAAGAAATTATTGAAGGGAGCATCTACTAAAGTTCATTAACAAAAATCCACTCGTCTGTTAAGCTTGTTGCATTGCGGACTTAGTTATGAATCCCCTCCCTGTAAGAAAAGAGTAATACTCAGGGCTTTATTTCATTCCGGTCAATTGACTTGGTGCCAAGAGGAGAACAAACAAGAACAATTTGCTTAATTAACTTGGCTTGCCATTCCAATTATTCTTCCTTACTCAGAAATACCTTTTCTAAATCTGAATCAGCATCAGCGATCTTAAATTTTACTTCTAATGTTGTATACAGGAGTTGGGGAATACTTTCCTTAACAATAGCCTACATCTGGCAACTTTACACCCTGTGGATTCTAGTTCAGCTACATGAAGCAGTTCCTGGGAAGAGGTACAACAGATATGTGGAGCTTGCACAAGCTGCATTTGGTGAGATCGAATTCTATGCCCGCCTTTTAGTTGCAAAAAATTCATCAACTTAACCTGCAATTTTAACTGTTATAACTATCAATTTTGCGTACTGATATGAATATGAGAGAATACATGGGCAGAAATGCATTTTCCAACTCAACTAAGTTTTCATGTCTCTGCATGAACCCAACCATTCAGGTAAAGGCCATAAGATCTTTCACTTTTTAACTGGGCAATCGTGATGTAGGGAAGTTTGTAGAACCAAGAATGTTGCATTAGGAATAATCACGAACAAACACAAAGAAGATAAACTCTCTATTTTTCTCAAAATTTATTAATAATTAAAACACACTACCTCTAGCCATAAAGCTTTCAACCTTATTTAAAATGATAACAATCCTAACAATGCTAACAATATTAATAACGAAAATAAAATCTTGACAAGCTAATTATAATTCTTATAGACCAAGCAACTAACAGAACATAATATCTAATAGAATAGGAAACTAAAAATTATTGCCTTAAGTAATAATTCTAGAAAAAAATAAAAATCTTTATTTGCTAAAATCACACTTCCATCAAATCAGCAACTAAACCAATTACATATTTATGTGGGTGCAAAAGTAACTCATGTAATTGCTGTACAATTAAGATCTTTCACTTTGAATTGGACATGAGTATCTTTATCATGTTATTTCTGTTTGATCCACTCAAAAGAGTAATCTCCATATATTTAACTATTTAAGTAATCTAATTAAATGAAGAACATGATAATGTATTGGGTCATGAGGAAAGATTTTCAAAGATTATTTGCATGCTATTTGCCAATGGTTCATTTGCATTATTACAATTTTCCATTTCAGGGGAACGATTAGGCGTCTGGCTTGCTCTCTTCCCGACAGTTTACTTGTCAGCGGGGACTGCAACTGCTTTGATTCTTATAGGAGGGGAGACCATGAAACTGTTCTTCCAGATAGTTTGTGGACCGCTATGTTCATCAAATCCTCTAACAACAGTGGAGTGGTATCTAGTGTTCACTTTCCTCTGCATTGTATTGTCTCAGCTCCCAAACCTCAACTCAATTGCAGGACTCTCGCTCATAGGGGCAATTACAGCCATAACTTACTCTACTATGGTATGGGTACTCTCAGTGAGCCAACAAAGGCCACCCTCAATCTCATACCACCCCCTTTCATTACCATCCTTTTCGGCCTCTGTCTTTTCAGTCATGAATGCACTTGGAATTGTTGCCTTTGCATTCAGGGGACACAATCTAGCCCTGGAGATTCAGGTATGCTCTCTGATGATCTAATTTGGTAGTAAAATTTTGTCTAATTGAAAGTGAGTTTTCACATGGTATTCTCCTTAGGCAACAATGCCATCAACATTCAAACACCCAGCTCACGTGCCCATGTGGAGAGGAGCCAAAGTTGCCTATTTCTTTATTGCCATGTGCTTATTCCCTGTTGCGATTGGAGGCTTTTGGGCCTATGGAAATCTTGTAAGTTTTCTAATTTTCATTATTTTCTTTCATAAATTGACATCTTTGTAATGAGTTAAACAAACAAAAACGATAACAATTTACTCCAACACATACTATAAATGCAGTGGAACCAACAAGGAAGAGGGAAAAAAAAGCAATATAAAACTCGACATCCCTGAAACTTCAGATGTATAGCGCTAAACATATAGGGTCAAGTCCCCAATGTCACAATTGTCTAACTAAAAAAATGTGCAGCCGTTAGAAGACAGTCACATCCCCATCTCAGAGGGGGAAACTGAGTTCCAAAGAAGACAATTCTGCTTGTAAAGCTTTGTCCAATCATATTGTAACAATTTGACAACCAAGCATTAGAAATCTTGGTTCGTTAGGAGGACAAACAAACAAATCTCATGTTTTTTTTTTTTTTTGCCTTATTGGTGTCATGATATTTGATTTCATGTTAGCCATCTACAAATTTTCGAGTCTTGCAAATTGCCTATACCATTACGTTGCTGCATCATTAATTGCTCGTTGATGATTGAATTCAGTGTTTTATTTGTTTCTGTTCTAGATGCCCTCGGGAGGGATTCTCAATGCTTTGTTTGCATTTCACAATCATGACATTCCAAGAGGGCTTCTTGCTATGACATTCCTCCTTGTTGTGTTCAACTGTCTGAGTAGTTTCCAAATATATTCAATGCCTGTTTTCGACAGTTTTGAAGCGGGTTACACAAGCCGTACCAACCGCCCTTGTTCAATTTGGGTCAGGTCCGGGTTCCGAGTGTTTTATGGGTTCATCTCCTTCTTCATAGGGGTGGCACTTCCTTTCCTCTCCAGTCTTGCAGGTTTGTTAGGAGGGCTCACTCTTCCGGTCACATTTGCTTATCCTTGTTTCATGTGGGTTCTCATAAAAAAGCCCACAAAATTCAGCTTCAACTGGTATCTTAATTGGATCCTTGGTTGGTTGGGTATTGCTTTCAGCTTGGCCTTTACAATTGGAGGTATTTGGAGTATGGTGAACAATGGCCTTACCCTCAAATTCTTTAAACCCAACTGACATTTTTAAAGTTTAGGGTGTATGTGGAGGACTTCTTCAATGCCGAAACAATTTAATTGTTTTTATTATGTTGGCAATTTTCATATTATTTTGTGTTATTATCTTCTTGTGTACGTCTGATCATCATCAGACCCTACAGTGGCAAGAGTATCATGCCCTGAAATTGCCTTTTTTGTCTTTCCAATTTTAATAGCATTGCAACTTTTGAACCACCACAGGAGTCATTTCAACAGAGATTAGAGAAGAATGTTGTAATGAGACATCATTTCCATTCAAAATTCAAATGTTAAACCTTCCATGTTGAAGTTATGGATCCAACATTGTTGAAATTTATATTGGGAAAAGTACAGAGTTTTTTTTATTATGAATTGAATGGACCTTTATTTGAAATATATTTTCCAGACTTGGAGCAACGCAGATTAGGGGGTCACAACTAGACTTGAGCCAATGCAAAATGACGACTCATGCAAGTGACAGTTATGTATTATACAAAAAAATTTCGAAAGCAAGAGAGAAAAGTCTCAAAAGTACATGCGCAACAAAATCTATATGCAGGTGGAGAGATTCGAACCACTAACCGACTAATGAAGTGCAATAGTTTTTCAATTGAGCTCCTCGTTGATTTTTGAGATATGTCAACTAAATTAGGAAATTTATATGATTATGTTTTAATTATATATAAAAGGTGATTGAATCTATGTTAGAATTGAAGTAAGTTAATTCATGAAGACTGAGTTGGTTTAGTTCGTTCCGGGGTCACTTGGTCCTTTAATCACTTGCATGTCATGTTTGGTTGCTAAATTAGAATGCATCCAAGTACAGAGAGGACAGAGGTGGGAGACAAATATGAATGATAAGAAATAAGAGAAATACTACAAACTCACCTTTATCAATTTAGAAATTATTCACAAATTAATCTCTGTCACACCCTATACGACTCCACATTATACAAATTAATCTCCACCATACAATCACACATCTAGAAGATTTTGGGTGGATAATTAGCAACCTTTCCCAAAAAATGAACCTGACATAACATTGAAAATAATGGGAAATTCTACGGGAATGTGTACCATATGTCCTAGTTAGGATTTTTTTAGTTTTTTTAGTTATAATTTTTAGGTGGTTAATTATAACTTGATTATAATTTGGTTATACATATTGTGGTGTAAGTTATGATTTATTGTGATGTTAGTTATAACATTATTTTGGCTATGATTCAAATTTTTTTTAATTATATCTTAAATGGTGCTTGATTATAACACCACCTTTTTTAAAATAAAAAAAAAAAAGAGTTATGACTTATAAAGAATTTAGTTATAATTTTTTGTAATCAGCCTAATAAATGGATAAATTGTATTTGAAAGTGTATACCATAGCACTACATTGAATAATAACTCTTTTTAATGTGGGGGGACAATATTTTTTTTTGAAAAATAAATGCAATCAAATTATGTAATTAAGATCATCTGATCAAATTCACTGTAAAAAAAAAAAAAAAAGATCATCCGATCACTCTCCTCTTTTACAATAACTTGACCCCCTTTACGTGCTGAAACACTATGAAAAATTTAGTGAAACAGTCGCTTAACATAATTGTGTAGTGTTAAAAATATAAGTAAATATTTTTTAATACATAAAATTCTTTAAAATTTATTTATCATGGATTAAGGACATAAAAAATATCGTTTTTTTTTTATTTATTTTAGACAACTTTGCACTTTTATCTTCCATTACTTTTATCTTCCTATTTCAACCATCAACGTGATAATCTCTCTCTCTCTATACATATATATATATTTAAATTTATATATATTCTTCAATATCCAAAATTGAAAATTCGTACAAGATTGCAAGAGATAGTTTCACAATCGAGTTGTAGAGCTTTGATAATTGCTACATTTTGAATCTTATTTGCTTTATTTCGATAATTGTTTGGATAGAAACTTGCAATTGAACTGTACAAGAGATGTTTAATTCGCTTGTTTTTTTTAAATGAAATAGTGAATAATTGTTAAAAGTTTTTTTTAGTGAGATTGAAGATTGAACAATGTGTATTTCGTTTGTTATAATTATTTTTTGTTTACTATGATTGAAGAACAATGTTTTTATTTGCTGGTATGTCAATTTTACTTTTGTTTACTCTGGTAAAATGCGACTTATGTTTTATTGGGTGATATGCTCTATTTTAAAGTAGTTGTAAAATTTTACTCTAATTTGCTATAACAATATGTAATATATTTTTTGTTTGCTGACTATGTACTAAATTAATATTAAAATTTTATTCTGTTAACATTATCATTTTGTTGTTTTAATAATTTTTTTTTTAAATATTTCTATTTACGACGACAACAATGATAGTGGCTATAGTGTTTAGTGATGATGATGGTATTTTATTATTTAAATACTAAAATTTCACAATAAATTTAATGGGAATTAGATTAAAATTTTACTGTAAGATAGAATAAAATTGTACTGATAATGTTAATTTCAACTGTTAAATTTTTATTAATTTTTATTTAAAGAATTTAATAGCCAACATGAATCTTATTTGATAGATCTTGACGAGATAATTCTAAAAATATTAATTTTATTAAAAAGTGATATTTTAGATCAAAAATTATATTATTTTAAAGTTTAAAATATTAAATTACTCACTAAAAATATTTTAGTAATAGTGATGTGTGTTAGACTTTCGAGGAAATTTTTTTTATACTTGTTCTTAATGTATAAAAGTTTTATTATGAGGGGATTTTTATCAAATTTCCCAAAAGTTAATTGCGCTTGATTGGGAAAGTCAAAATTTTTATTAAAAAAATCCATTTACAAGAAGAAAAAAATAAATAAATCCATTTGCTCCCCCAATATATATAATAAAACCAAATTAGCTAAATTTAGTTATGCTAATTAGAAATGCACAACATTTTTAGTATTATTATTATTATCATTTCTTTTTAGATAAGGTTATTTTAGCCAATAAATTAGGACCATTATTGGTGTGGGTTTGAATTCTTTCGAGTTGGTCATCTCAATTTGTGAAAGAGTTGGGCATGGTGGGCTCATTTTGGAGCCAATTTTATTGATGCGAACCGTTCATTTTTAAAACTCATTGAATACTGAAATTATAATTGTCGTCTATTTAAAAAAAATAAAATAATGTGACTCAAACATTTAGTTACCAATGTCTGATTATTTTAATTTTTTGCATAAATATTTTATTTAATAATCTTAAGAAGTGAATGGCTTGAATCACTAAGATCGATTTCAAAATGAGCCCACCAAATTCAAATTTTCTCTCAAATTGAGATGATTAATTTGAAAAAATTCAAATCCTTTTTTAGTTAGCAAAATGATTACCACCCTCTATCAGCACGCCGTCTAAACTAATTTCTAAGGAGTGTCCTACTGTGTGTCCTTTTAAAAAGGTGCACATTTGTAAAAAAAAAAATTATGATTTTTATGATAAAAATTATGGGTGCTTGGCAATAGATTTTTCTGGTTTCTTGGGCTAAAATAATACTAAAAGATAAAATAAGTTAAAATGGCCAATAACACAAATATCACATTAAATTCACAATTATTTCATTTTTTCTTTCACAAACATCGTATTCAATTACAAAAAAATCTAACTTCCTTTCCAAACACAATTATTTTAGTTTACTAAAATAGTCAGAAATTAAAATAGCCTACTTTCTAAACACCCCCTATGATTTTTGTAACGAAAATTACGAGTTACAAAATCGTGGCGTGCATTCTTAAAATTACGAATAAAAAATTTATTTATGTCAAAATTTTACTTTTTGTAAGGAATATATTTTTTTGTATATGGTACATACCATATGCACATTTTTTTGAAACAATAAGTCTGGGAATCTAGACTTATCTATTCATATTTTTTTTGAGTGGGTGGTGGTTTGATGAAAATTAAGTTTGTGTAGTATGAGGTTCATATGTAGAAGAAATCTGAATGACAAGATGATAATTTTAAATAATTTCTGAATAATTAAATCTAAATTCGCAATATTACTATTTTTGAAATGCAGGTGATAGTATTATTGTTCAATTTCTAATGAGGGTTTTGTATTGAGAAATTGGGGTAGCTGCTGATGTGGCTAATAGGCCTCATTTTGGAATCAATTTTGATATTTCAAACCATTCAATTTATAGGATACATTGAGTCGAATATATGTATAAAAAATTAAATTGATCAGATATCAAAATTCTTTTTATCAAATTGCATTTACAGTTTTATATTTCAAATTATATTTACCCTTTCTGTTTTTAGATATATATGTTATTTGATAAAAAGACTATTGATGTCTGATCAATTTGATCTTTTTACAAATATATTTATGTACTTTAAAATTTAAACAATTTAAATTATCAAAATAGACGTCATAAGACTTATTGACCAGACAAAATAACTATTGTGTGGGGCACAACAGTAACCCTAATTCTTTGTATTAGGCACCGTGGGTTCCGCCACAGTGGACTTTCTTGTGGTGCTTGCAATCCATCTCACACAAAAGTCTACTATGAAATTCAAAATTCTCCTCACTAAAAATAGACTGAACCCTCCAATAAGTGAGACCATGTTTGATTCGTAATGTTATGATACATATCTTTAAAAGAATGTATATGCGAGTTATGTTTTTGTGAGTTTAATTTTTATAAATGGCATAATTTAATAGTATATAAGTTATAACTAAAAAAGAAATTGAGTTATAATCAAACTTTACATAAGATATAACTAAACAACTCTTGAATTATAACCAAAATAATGTCACAAAAAATATTATAATGTGTCATAACTAACAATATAGTAAGTTATAACTAAAGATACAAAAGTCATAATCAAAGGTGCATACATATAATTGAATTGGGTGCCTGATGTGCATCAAGCACAACGTGCACGGTTGTGAGCTCGTTCAAACACACTCTAAGACTTATTTCGATAATCTGAACCATTAAATTTTAGAGTATATCGTGTAAATCATACCTACAAAAATTTAAATTGATCGGATATCAGTAGCCATTTTATCAAATCAAATTTATATTCAATTTTATATTTAAAATAACACTTACTGTTGATCTTTTTTTTCTTTTTTTTAATACAAATATGCTTTGATGAATAGGCAATTGATATTCAATCAACTTGATTTTTTACAAGTACGTTATACACAATGTAATTTAAAAATTGAATGATTCAAATTATCGAAATAAGACTCGGAGTGCGCCTTAACGAGGGCACAATAGTGCCCTCTATGCTTTATGCACATTAGAAACCCCAATTCCCATAGAATTACACATGTTTAATATGCCATTTGAAGGGAATTGAGATGGG